CACATTCATTTTTAAAGACGAGGATATTTGGTCTGTTGACCAAGGCTCCGCTGCTTGGCCATGGCTGGCACCTGCGCCTTTTTGCCCTGCATGAACCCCTCGGACTTTCCGTCTGTGGCATCGTGGTGGCCTGCTCGCCCTGCCTCCAGGCCTCTATGTTCAGTGGCTTTCTGCCTAGAACCATCTTTCTCTCCATCCACAGGGCAGAAGCCCCCCTCCTCAGGGAGGCCCCCGTGGCACTCAGTGTGGGTCCCAAAGAGCACCCCCTCCATGCCCCCGTGACACCCCCTGCTCACGCTCACCACCTGTGCGCTGCCTGCCCGTCCCTCTGAGTCCACGCTCCCAGAGGGCAGGACTGCATCGGTCTCATTCTCTCTCCACCCCCAGTGCTTAGGTGAAAGTGTGGCACATTCTAGGAGCTCACTGCATGTACCTGCAGAGTGAATGATTTTTCCTCTGACGCTCTGTGGTTGGCCGCGCCCCTTCTGTGGACACTTTCTTCAGCTGTGTCTGTTCATGCAGGTCCTGCCCTGGCTGTAGTATCGGCAGCTTCGGGTCTCTGCAGATCTCTGCTTTGATGATGTTGATGATGATGATGGTGATCGTTTTAGTAAGGACGAGAACCAGTAATAGTAACAGAAATCGCAATCACTAGGGGGCCGTTCTGCATCCCAGGGGCTGTGCCAGGGAGTGTTTTGTAAGCGTGGCTGTGGCTGTATTTGACCCTCACCGTGTTCTGAAGACAAACGTGTCATCGTCTTGAGATGCAGAAGAGCTAAAAGGGCCCATGCAAAGCTGAGCTACATGGAATCAATGAGTCTGAGTCCACCTGGCTTTCAAACTGAAGCTGATGTGGGATGATCTTAGAGCATAACTACCAGGGAGTGGGTGCACGTGTGGGAGAGGAGGGTGGCCTGTGCTGCTGGAGCACTGAGAGTGCACTGACCACCAACTGAGGCCCTGGCGTTCCTGGGAGACTGAGAGAGACCTTCCTGGTGCGGGGAGCACATGCAAACCCTTTGTCCTCGTGTGTCACAGCTTCAGGATGTTCATCAGCTCCCAGGGTGGCCCCACGAACAGGCTGGAGACTTGGCTGCACTGTGCTATTTGCAGTTTTAACTAATTAGAGCATCTCAAACTTCTCATGTATTTATTTTAAGCCCTAAAACCAGCATGCCTGCCAAAAGCCTGCTCCATCTTGGTGAAAGCACTGGACTCACAAATAGATGGCCGTTAACAGTGGCTGTTGTAAGTCCAGACACAGTGGTATCGGGCACGGCACCTTTCAGCGTGGAGTCAGCCTCCTCGGACTATCTGGAGGGTCTGGCCGTGGCTCGGGCACGTCCCCAATTATGCTTCGATGCGCTGGCTCAGGGAGACAGCCAGAGAGACAGCCAGCTGAGACACCTGCAGGAGCCCTCCTCGGCGGGTTGGGGCCTGGTCTGCCAAAGGCCCCCTTCTACCAAATCAGACTTGCCTTTTTAAATTGTTTTGAAAGAGGATTACACTGATGCTGCACTGTCATTATGACAAGTCACTCTGAGATTATCTTATCCCGGGGCCGCAGCCGCGAGTGGAGTTCCTACCTGTCCCGGGGAGAAGGCTGCCCAAGTCTGGCTGGAACTGCTGCACAAGCCCACAGCCTGGATTTTCAAGCAGGTCTAGGGTGGGGTCACCGGCTGACCTAGGGCATTCCCAAATGTAGACGTTGTGCTTTCTGACCTGCTCTTGCACTCTTCCTGGGCTGCACTTAAAGGCTGAAAGGGAGACCACCAAACAGCTCAATTCTGAGCGTCTGCACCACTGACCCGCCCCACAGCACTGTTCCAGCCCAGCCCAGGCTATAAACTATCCTCCTTCCTCCTCATTTAGCCTCCTAGGAAGCTCACGTTTTGCTGATCTCCATGTTTGTGTTTGCATATGCCAAGGCTAGTCAGGTGCAGCAGCCTTCTGGGGGAGGGGGGTGGTGTTAGGAGCTCCTGTGGTCCCCAGTCCAGGATAACATTGTTTATTTACAGAGGACCAGATGTCAGCATGAAGGAGATATCAGTCCTGGAGGGCCCCACTGAGGTGGGCCAGAGCCCCAGGGTTCCAAAAGATGGGCTTCCATTCTTCATTCTCTCATGGAAGCAGATAGGCAGGAGTCTGGCTGGCCAGAGGCTGCTTCGTGAGCATGGATGGGGCTGTGTCCGTGGGCTCCAGTCCGGTGCAGAGGGTGACCTTGAAAAGGTCTTGTGACCTTGCAGCTCTACACCTGCAAAGGTAGGAGTAGTGGGCGTGCCCACAAGCCCCTCCCATCCCAGCAGGTTCCCATCCCTGGCTCTGTTGTTGGCCACACCAGTAATAAAATAAATGCCTTTATACAAGGGCATTTTTGGCAGGGTTCTAGCAAACATCCAGCTAGGGATGCATTTATGCTTCATACAGTTGGTATCATTCTTTTGGAGACCTTACCTACATAGAATTCTAAGGTGCTTGAGCAGGAAGGGACCCCAAGAACATTATAGCTGGTGATTTTTTTTTAATAGATGAAGGGGCAGAGTCCTTGATAGTTTACATGAGGTAGAGTGATCAGCATCATCATCGTCATGACAACCCTCCACCAGGCACCTCTGTTTATCCCACCAACACTCACTACACAGGTGGGGAGATGGAGGCTCAGAGAGGCCGAGCAGCTCGCTCAGGGTCACACAGCTAGTTCGAGCCAGAGGTAAGCTGCAAATCCAAGGCCCACTCATCGTTCCTGCCTCCTGGCACTCTCATTCTAGAAAAGATGATGTTGGCCTGCGTGGGTGAGCACGCTGCCATCTCTGCCTCGGTGCCCAGAGCACCTCCTGCAGGAAAGTTGCTCAGACGAGCTGTGCACTCACCCCTTGGGCTTACCTCTTGATCACTAATGAGTGCATTTTGGTGGCACCAGGTCTCTGGTTGGCCAGTGTTACAAAGCCCCTTAGAACCATGGATACAAGCTGCCAGGTGGGAGGGAGCACAAAGATTTCCCCTGCCTGGGTTCATGGTCCTGTAATTTCCTGAGATTGTGTTTTCTGCTTGAAAGGATCAAGTGGAAAAGGCTTGGGTTTTGGTGTCAGATCTGGGCTTAAATCCTAGCTGCCGTTGCTGGGATTACCAGTAACCTGCCCAACCCCTCCTGGTAAGTCACAATGCAATGCAAAACTACAAAGGTCAGTGGGCTCAAGGATCATCTCCTCTCCAGGGAAAAAAATCATCCCCCTTTGTCATTTTAGCCACAGAAAATCTCCATTAAAGCCTTGTAATTGGAACTCCCTGGAGGTTCTCTTCTCTATCCTGCTTTCCCATCTGTGAGCATTTCCTGGCCCCTCACAGATTCAGGCTTTGTGACTTAACAATGCTTTTATATGCTTCTCTCTGTGTATTTTTAAAAACTGAGATATAAATGGGCAGCCTGGGTGGCTCAGCGGTTTAGCACCGCCTTCAGTCCAGGGTGTGGTCCTGCAGACCCAGGATCGAGTCCCACCTTGGGCTCCCTGCATGGAATGGAGCCCTGCTTCTCCCTCTGCCTGTGTCTGTGCCTTTCTCTCTCTCTCTCTCTCTCTCTCTCTCTCTCTCTCTGTCTCTCATGAATAAATAAATAAAATCTTTTAAAAAATGGAGATATAATTCATGAGTGTGTGCTCAGGGGAGTTGATTACCCCATAAAACCATCGGAGTCTAGAGAACCTAGTGAGGTCTAGACCAACCACCCTCATTTCCAAGTGAAGAAAGACGGCGAGAGAGGAGCTCTGTGAGCTGGTCGAGCTCAGAATTGTGAACTAAATTTGTTTCCTATTTTACCATTCAGCACTTTCTGCTCCTTATGCTTTTTATGGCAAAACCAGAACAGAGAATACTACCAGCCGGTAGCCTCTGATGTTGTCAATAGCATCCATCACACCGAGGAGTCTGTGTGGACTTGGCCACCCTGGGATCTCTGGGGGTGGGAGGGTGCCTCCAGACCTGCCCCCCAGCCCAGCAGCAGCGTGCTCACTTTAGTTCCAAGCAAGATGCATGAGAGTTACCGTTCTGTCTGTAGCAATGTGGATGGAGATCTGTTAGCAAAGTGCAGCTGGAGATAGGCTGGCCTGTGTGCATGCGATTCTCAGCCTTCGCCCTGGACTTGCCCAGATCGCCACGGTTCAGAGTCAGAGCCCCCATGACGGACGCTCCTGTCCACTAACAGTGCTGGAGGAGGCCATGCTGGTTACTTAGGGTCACTTAGAAGAGATTCCACCAATCAAACCTGGTCATACAGTGAGATGACACCGAGCAGGGGCTGCACACAGGGCAGCACCCCTGGAGAAGGTAGGGTGTTGTTTCTCAGAATTTGTTTGTGTGAATGTCTCACTCATTACATACTAGTTCATGAAATTCTTTGAAGGTATAATTTAAGCTGCCACTTTTTCATTCAAAGGACATCATTTTATTATTTTTTTAAAGATTTTATTTATTTATTCACGAGAGAGAGAGAGAGAGAGAGAGAGAGAGAGAGAGAGAAAGAGGCAGAGACACAAGCAGAGGGAGAAGCAGGCTCCATGCAGGGAGCCCAAAGCGGGGCTTGTTCTCAGGGCCCTAGGATCACACCCTGAGCCGAAGGCAGACACTCAACCACTGAGCCACCCAAGCGTCCTGAGGACATCTTTTTTTAAAATTAAAGTCTGGAAGCCTCTAGGACCAGCATTCATCTCAGAAAGTTTTCTTTGCCTTCCTGCTGCACGGAAGGGGATGAGGTCCCTGTCGCCACCTGGTGGCCACACTGATCTCTGCAGGGGCTCTGGCCACCTGGGACCTGCTGATGGGGACAGAGATGGACAAAGGACAGGGTCCCACCTCTCACGGGGCCCACCTTGCAGTTTGTCATCTCAGCAGGGCGTCAATCTCTCAAGAGGGAAACTGTGTGACCTCAGGGTAGACAGATGCTGTCACAGCAAAACCCAGTCCAACAAATAGACTAACAACCCAGTTCCGCTGGTTTTGTTTTCCAGGAATCAGTGGTGGCCCCTTGGAAAACCACTACAGGCTAAAGCAGTTCCACTTCCACTGGGGAGCGGTGAATGCGTGGGGCTCAGAGCACACAGTGGATGACCGTGCGTACCCGGCAGAGGTTGGTAGACGCCATCCCAGCAGCAAATGTGTGGGAGCTTGCTACACCCCGGGCCCGCCTATAGGGCGACTGGCCAGCCGGCTGCCCAGAAAAGGAGCATTCCAGGGGGTGGCTGGAAGGCAAATCCGGTTCCAAGGTGGGGCCCCTGAAGAAAGCAGCCAGCCTGCAGATAGGGCCTGGGGCCCGGCTATCTATTTCTATGTGACCCACAGGGACAGCGGGTAGGGGAGTCCAGGGGAGTCGTGCATAGTGGGGAGATGCCGTGCCACCCTCACTGGTCCCCAGTGCCCACGGCTGGGAGCACTGGGGCTAACTGGCAGTCAGGTGCCACGTGGAGTGTACGTGGACCCTAGGCAGAGTCCTCACAGCGCTGACACCCAGCAGCTGCATGGGAAGGTCTTGCTGACCATGAGAGGCTGGGGGGCTTTCTGGACTCTGTTGGTATGGACGTGGGGCTTGGGCGCCACTCAGAAAGGCCTCTGGCACAGCTCATGCCTGCAGAAGGACGCATGTGCCAACCCCCTGGCCCCTTCTCGGGTCTGGGCCAAGCTCAGCATCGACATAATCAGGTGCCCCTGTCACACAGAACCCAAGCCAGGCCCGCGGCCCTGCCTCCCCTGCTTCCTTACCTTGTCCTCTGCCCCTTATTTAAATCCTTGTCAGCCGGCCAGTCCTGACGCCGAGGTTGGGCTCGGGAAAACGCAAGGAGGGACATGAAATGGGGACATAGATGAGGTTCAAAGGAGGGAGGCAGAAATAGGGGGAAAATGCAATTTGAGCATCATGCTCACATTAAAAATGGTGCTTTGTTTATCTGAAATTCCAACGTAACTGAGCGTCCCATAGCAGGTCTGGCAGCCCTGCCCCGGGGTCTCTGATACACATGAACTATCCAGCCGCCAATTCCTATTTTACACCGTGAAGCCCCCTTCCCCTTTCTGCGGCTCTCACTCCCCCTGGGCAGGCAGCACCGCTCGGCTGCGCCTCCGTCCAGCGAAACCACGCAGTGGGCGGCCCGGCCAGGGGAAGAGGAGCTGCCGTGTCCTTGGGGCATCGTGCGGACAAACCCGAGTCCTTTCTCCTCTCTTTCAGCTGCATTTAGTTCACTGGAATTCTGTGAAATACCAAAATTACAAAGAAGCCATCATGGGGGAGAACGGTGTGGCCGTGATAGGGGTGTTTCTACAGGTAATCTTGCTTAGGCACGACTCCCCCAGGGAAGCGGGTGAACCATGTCTGCAGGGTGCGGGGTGTGGGGTGCAGGGCGCGGGACACGGGGCGCAGGGCATGGGGCACGCTTGCCATCCTGCCGGCCGCCTTTTCCAACGGGCCTTTCTCGTCTATGCTGGGCAGCTGGGGGCCCATCATGAGGGGCTGCAGAAGCTGGTGGAAGTCTTGCCGGAAATAAAGCACAAGGTAAGCTGTGTAGCTTGAAGTTGAAGCACCTTTACTTACGTTAATGACTCGTTTGCAAGGATAAGAGACCAACGGGGTGGAAGGGTATGGCTGAGGGGGCCTGAGTCCAGTTCCAGGAACGGATCTCCCTGGGGCTCACTCTCTGATGACCATGGGTCCCTGCTCCCCGTGGACCCCTCCCTCCCTAGTATAGTGGGTGTGCCAGACTCCATCCAAGTTTCCCAACATTCAGCCACTCGGGCAGCATCCCGAAGGTTTTGTCCACCTGTCACTGGTTGCTATCAGTCCCCTAGTATTTTTCCTTACACTGATCAGCTTTAAAAAATCCTTAGCCTGGACCCAGGCAACAACATCCACCAGAGATGATGCTTGTTTTAAAACTGACTGCAATAAACACCTAACTACCTTTAGGGGTGTCCACCCCCACGCTACCTGGCATGCTGCTGGCGCAGGGTCTCAGGGTTCCCCGTCCCAGGAGAACAGAGAAGCCGAGGGCAGGGGGAAAGGCCTGCCAGCCTGTGAATGCGCCCACAGTGAGGGGATCATCGCTCAGCTCCCTTTGTGCACCTTGCTGCTTTGAGCTCGGCTCAAAAAGACGAGGACACCAAAGTAGGTTTTCTCCAACATCAGCCAAGAGAAGACTTTGATGGACAAATGGAAATTCCAAAGAAATGTAGTTTATTTGTTCAGTACCAAACAAAAGAGTTCCAGGACTCGAGGAGGCCTGGGGGTCCCTGGACATGGGAACCTGTCCCAACAATGGCCAGAGCGGCTCCAGATGAAAGCAGGGGCCTGCCCTTCCTTTGCTGCTCCACAGGGTCTGTTTGATGTGTGCCGTGTGCTCGCTTGATGTTGACCTTGAGGTTGGCCCCATGGGACCAGGACCACCTCACCCGCCACTGTCCCATCCGCCAGCGCAGGAACTCCTCAAGGTCAAGGTGCTGGGAGCATCCTCTTCCTTGCTGGTCTGCAGCCAGAGTAAACCCAGGATGTTTTCCCTGTGTGCACCCACCTCCCACGTGGCGTGGCCTCCACCTCTTGGTGGGAAGGGAAGGACCTGGCCGTGAGGTGCTGTTTACTCTGGGGTCTGTTTTCCTCCCGCAGAAGCTCTGGACCGCGTCTGGGTAGCCCAGGGCCACCTGGGAGAGCCACGCGGGAGGGACTGTCAGCGAGGGTGGCGGAGGAGGCTGCCTGGGGCTCGCTGCTGCTCCTGACGCTCCTCTCTGGCCTCAGATTCCTAACCTGGGAAACAAGAGCGAGAGCCTAGGAGACAAAAGGCCCAGCCCTGCAGAGCAGGTGTCTGTGCCTCACAGGTTGGGAGGTGTGACCCAGTGGCCCCAATCTGTGCCTCATGCGGGTGCCCTCAACCTCTGGAGCCATTCTTTAAATGTGCCACGTCTGACACCATCTCCGTGGCCTACAGTTCTGTGGGTTTGACAATGCATAGTCGTGGATCCTCCCAAAACTTTAGTTGATGGAAACCGGTGGTGCATGCGTCCAGCCACCCCTCCACATGGCTGCAGCCTCGACCCCACTCCTGCAGCCTCAGGGAAGGAGGGACAGCTGGCTTTAGGATGGAGAGGCTCCCCGCAGCATCTGAGTTCTGCCGCTAGTCACGTGGCTTTGGGCCAGTCTCTTGTATCTAACCTACTTTCCTCTTCAATAAATAGAAATTCCTCTCGCAGGTGGATCTGGAGAACTTCACGGTAACAGCCTCGGATGGTATCGGGCACATCAGCCCCTCCCGGGCTGCAGTTTCAGGGACCAGGGGGGCACTGGTGCTCCCACCGGTGCTCCTTGCATTTTGTCCCAAGTGCGTGCATGACCCGCCTCCTCCAAGAATTCACTAGATCACACGAGGTGGCGTTTCCAGCCGCGGGAGGGAACAGGAGCTCCAACTTCCACCACTCGGGTGAACCTTGAAGGCACGACCCCGAAGGACAGGCTGGTCCCAAAGCCCACATCCCGTGGGATTCTGTGTAGGCAAAGCAGAGGAGACAGAAAGCAGGTCGGGGGCGGGGGAGGGGGCGGGGGGAGGCTGGGCGGCAGGGTGGCTTAAAGAGCCATTCCAGGGGCTCTCTGCAAGGTGCTGAGTCCCTGAAACAGACGGTGTGGGCAGCGGCGGGCACCCATCTGTGCCTATGCCGAGAGCCAGAGCCCTGGGAGCTCTAGACCAGTGGGTGCCGGGCTACGTGAACATATTTCCGTACGGCTGTTTCTGAACTGTTAAGGAGACACAAATCACGCAGTGAATCGTCTGTCGCCGCGGGCAGTGGTGGCAGTGATGGCAGCGACCACGGGAAGCGGCTCCCGGCCTTGGGGCCTCCAGCTTGCCTCTGGACCGTGCGTCTAACTGGGGGGAGTCAGCAGTTAGGGGACAGCTGGGCCACGGGCCCCCAGCTCCTGCGTCTGCAGGTGGCACAGAGAGTCCAGGCGAACAGGGAGGCCTCCTCCCCCGGTCGAGCGTGTCCGCGCCGTGCCTGGACACCCTCCCGCCATGCTGCCCGGGGCCGCTCCGCAGCTTAGGTACCTCGGCACTGGTGTGTGCAACATTGCTCCCAGGTCTCCGCACCCGAGGGACCCCAAGAGACCCTTTCACCACTGAGTGAAAGGCCTGCTGGAGAGCCTCTGGCTGGAGAACCAATAGGTTCTCTTTGCACCTCTACCTTGCCCTGCACTGTGATGAGCCCCAGTTTCCTGGCCCTGCTGCTGGACCTCTTCAGGGGTCCCCAGTGCTGGGCAGAAGCAGGGGTGCCCCCCCCATATCTTCCTTACTGCTTCGGTTTCTCACTCACTCCTTCCCACCACGTGGCCTCTGTGCTATTCCTCAAGCGCTTTGGGCCACACCGTGCCTCAGGCCCTTTGCACTAGCTCTGCCCACTTCCTGGAAGGATCTTCCCCCAGAAACCTGCAGGCCTCTTCCTTCACCTCTTCCAAGTCTTTGCTCAAATGTCTCCTTCTCTATGAGGACTTCAGGACCACCCCTTTTAAAACACCAGGCCCTACCCTCAGCATCTCTGACCCCACCGTCCTACTTAAATTTCCTTCCATCATGCTTAACCATGGTGAGAACTACTAGATATTTCACTTACTTATTCTGCTGTGGTCTGCTTTTCTCTGGTAAAAGGTAAGTTCCATGAATGTGAGTAGTTTGTCCTCTCTGTCTGCTACTGCACCTCCACAATGTGGAGTTACACACCACGTAGCTGCAGGCGAGTGGATGAAGGTGGCACCCCACCTGTGCCCCTGGCACTCAGACAGGCAGCTTTCCCCCACCCTTTGATGAAGCCTGCAAAGCAAGGAAACACGAATTCGGAACAGAAGCTCCCAAGGGAAGGTGCAGGCACGATCCCCCCTCAGTGGCGGCACAGGGAGCTTGGCACATGAGGGGCACCGTTCCCTCCCTTCCTGCATGCCCCCATCTCTACCTGAGACCTGACACCACCTGTGGTCTTGGTCTCTCAGGGTGCACGGGCCACTGTGGGCCCCTTCCAGCCCTCCTGCCTCCTGCCCACCTGCCGGGACTACTGGACCTACCCGGGTTCCCTCACCACCCCTCCACTCACTGAGTCGGTCACCTGGATCATCCAGAAGCAGCCCATCGAAGTGGCTCCAAACCAGGTAAGCTGCCCCTGAATCAGTGTGGCAGGATGGTACGGGAGCCATTTGTCTTGTCAGGGCAGCTGAGGTCCTGTGAGCAGGTGTCACGGGTTTTATTTTATGGTGTGGTTTGGATGCTCCTGAGCAAGAAGCATTTCTTGAGCTAGGGACTCGAGAAATACACTCTGGTGGCCTCTAACATTCTGTGGCTTCAAATTGAGACCTTGCAGGTATCCCTAATGACAAATGCACACCGGTCAGTGCTTGCTCTGCAGTGTGTGTTAGACAAAAGTGACTTTAAAAGAAACAGAAGTGACATTATAACTGGGACACGGATCCCTGCCCAGGATGGGACCTCAGTAGGTATTTGTAGGTGAACAAATTAACCGAGAAAGGAACATCATCAATGAATTTTAGAAAGCCATTAAGGAAGTGGGGTAATTGACGGCGACGAGAAGACTTTTAGCATTTGTCCCACTTCTTTAGATGATAGAATGGTAAGCAGTTGAGACTGAAGAGGTTTCTCTCATGTGCTGTCTTCAGAAGTTATGCATGCTGAGAGAAAATTTCAGAAGGATTGTGTCAGTCAGCTATTGCTACGATAATGCTGCGTAACAAACCATCCCAAAACTCAACGGCTCCTAACAAGCATTTATTTTTCTTGCTTTTGGGTCTGCGGGTTGCCTGTGGGTGGCGGGGTGGCTGGGGTTTGGGTCGGGCCCTGTGTGTCTCATGCTCCTTGGACTACTGTCTAACCCAGAGCTGGTTTCCATGGTGCACAACAGATATGCAACAGTCAAGTAAACCCCACATGCACACTGACAGCCTCTGCTCACAGGCCACCAGCCACAGCAGGTCCCAGTGGCCGAGGTCAGGGGGCAGGGAGGAGGTGAGTGAGTGCTCCCAGAGCCGTGCCCTCATCTCGCACACAGACTTACACCAGAAGCTAGTACCTGGCTGTCCAGGGTTTTTGCATCGGTTCTAATTTCCTTCCTCTTCCTTTTCTAAATAGTCTTTTTCTCCCCGTAAAGTAAGTAGCTATTACTTGTTTACATTTTAAAGACTTAGAGTCTCTTTTTCCTGGAAATGTCAAGAATGTGGAGACATCTTGTGTGTGTCGGGCATTCAGAGCCCAGGGATGACAGACATGTGGCAAGTGCACTGCCATGGCCCTGATCCCTGCGCAGGCTGGACCTTCCTGGCCAGTCACACGTACACTTTCTGAGGCTCCAGCCTCGCGATTCTGGGAATATCTTCTCATGCCAAAGTTGTGGAATGACACTGTTTGCTCTGGAAGGCAGAGCTATCTGCTCTTCTCCTGAACCAGAGTTGTCAGACACACTGATGGAGGACCCGGGTCGAGAAATGGGCCCCGGTCCCTGAGACCCCTCCTGTCCCTCAGCACATAAGCACCTGTGCATGTCAGGTGCAGTGGCCGAAGAGCAGGAGAGAGACGCGTGGCCGCAGACGGTGTGATGAGACCTGTGAGGACAGTCTGCACACGGCTGTGCTCCATGCCCTCCATGCCCTGGGGAAGCCGCCAGCCATGCAGCTCTAGTTTGTGCAACACGTGGTCACTGTGTAGACACAATCCCAGCTCCATAGGTGGCTAAATATGTGAGCGACCCTCACAGGCTCCTTAATAAAATCTGAGGACAAACGAGGTGATTTAAAAATGCACTTTCAGCTCCTTCAGTGGGAAGTGAATCAAACATTATGTTATATTGTATGTGTTTATTTAGCTTTTATGTTACATGTGTTCCTTACCTGCTGTGGGGAAGCATACGAGGTGGTTCTGGCTTGGGGCCGCTGATGGTGTTGCAGCCAGGTGTCCCCTGGGACTCTGAACACTTGAGCCGGGCCACAGGCTCCTTCCCAGAGTAGCTCAGTGAAGCGACTGGCAAGGTGGTGCTGGCTGTTAACTCCGCTCGCTGGGGCTGCTAGCGTGTCCTCACAGCACTGCAGCTGGCTTCTCCAGAGTGGGGGATGCCAGAGACCAAGACGGAAGCTGCAATGCCTCCTGTGGCCTAGCTCGGGCATCCCCTCTGCCACCCTGTGCTGGTCATGCACGGCGGTCCCTGATTCACTGTGTCCGGGCAGGGACAGAGGGCACGACTGCACGAGGCAGGAGCTGGTTGACTCCGAACCGGCACCCCGCAAACTCTGGTTGCTCTCCATTCCAGCTGGCCGCCTTTCGCACACTCCTGTTTTCTGCGCTTGGTGAAGAAGAGCAGATGATGGTGAACAACAACCGCCCAGTTCAGCCTCTGATGAATCGGGAGATCCGTTCATCCTTCCAGGCTGTGGAAGAGGGCTCAGAGGTTGGAAGCAACCTCTGAAATTGAAAGAAAGAAAGAAAGAAAGAAAGAAAGAAAGAAAGAAAGAAAGAAAGAAAGAAAGAAAGAAAGAAAGAAAGAAATCGTTGTTTCAGTCTCTGTGCCTTCCAGTTGCGAGGAAAAGAAACCACTTCAAAGAAGCTTTGGAATGGTAGGGAACGGAAGTGTGGGACGCACGGGGCATCTCAGGGCCCCCGGCGGGTGCCTGTCCAGCCCCGTGCACCCGCGCCTCCTCGTCTCAGACAGGCGCCCTCTGATTCTCCACGCGCATGGCCACCCCGTGCTTGCCGGACAACTCAGGGCCTGGGACCCACGTGCACCGTCTCCACCTCCAGACTTCTGGGTACAGCAGTGTCCTGGGGCTGCTGGGATGAATGACCACTAACCAGAGGGGCGAAAGCAACAGAAATGTGTTTCCTCGTGGTTCTGGAGGCTAGAGGCCTGGTTTGCAGGTGTCGGCCGCGCTGGTTCCCTCTGGAGGCTCCTGCAGATACGGTCAAGTGCTTTTCCAGTGGCTGCTCAGGACACGGTGCTCCGTTTAGTTGTGGCCGTTCTGGAGGGCGTGGAATGGCTTCTCCCTGTGGGGTTCTGTTTTTTTGTTTAATTGTGGTGGAACACACATTACATGATACCCTCTCACCCACTTTTAAGTGAACGGGTATGTGGTGTTGATTGCATTTCCAGCATCATGCCACCGACCCCACCAGCCGGCCCCGGAGCATTCCTCGTCTGGTGATGGAACCCTGCCCCAATCCGTGCTCATTGCCCATGCCCAACCCCACCCGTGGCGGCCACCATCCTGGTGTCTGCCTCTATGACTTTGATCACGCTAGAATAAAATATAAGTGGAGCCCTATACAGTGTTTGTCTTTTTGTGACTGGCTTTTTGCACTGGGCATCACGTCCTCCACATTCATCCATCTTAGAGCATGTGTTGGAGAGCTTTCCTCCTTTTCAAGGCCCAGGGACATCCTAATTGAAAATGGCATTTTTATTCTTATAGCAACACGGATATTGCATCCTCTCTGGTGGGGATGCAGCGCACGGACTACACAATCGTGTCATCTTCCGACTTACCCTGCTGTCAGGTGCACAGCAGGACACAGCATGGAAACATAAGTGTTGCATATTTTCTTCCTCTTCCTTTTCTAAATAGTCCTTTTCTCCCTGTAATGTAAGTAGCTGTTGTTTACGTTTTAAAAAGCTAAGATATCTTTTTTCTCTGGGAATGCCAAGAATGTGGAGACGGCCTGTCTATGTTGGGCATTCAGAGCCCAGGGATGACAGACATGCAGCAAGCATGTGGCCACGGCGCCCCCCCACCCTGCTCCTGAGCAGAAAATATGCTATTCACTGGGGTGCAGCAAAAAAAAAAAACTCCATTTCATTTTGGGGAGATAAAGAATAAATAGACTTATTACAGCCCACAAGTAGCATTTCAAATCAGAGAGAACGTATGATATGGAGGTGGTTTGTTTTGGCGGAGCGCTCAGAGCCACCGCAGGTTACAGTCTGGCTTTGGGGGACTGGAGGTTCTGGATGCAGAGCTGCAGAGAAAGCAGTCCTGCACCTCCTCACGCACCCTCTTCCCTGGGAAAGAGCATGGGTCATGGCGCCCACCCCACCGTGTCACAACGCCTCATCCAAACGCAGCACATCAGGCCCTCCAGGAGGCTGGAGCCACAGAGGCACCTCTGTTCTGCCAAGTGAGCGTGAGTTAGCCAGTGATGGGGTGATGGGTGCATGGCCTGACCATTAGCCTGAGGGTGGAGCTGCGGGAGGATGGGCAAGGAAGAGAGGGTACTTTAAAGTTTGGCTCGGACCAAGACTATTTCTTGTCTTCTGGGGCAAGGTCACCACTCCTGAGTCTTTAGTGAGGTGGGCTTTCGTGCACAAGGAGAGCGTCCTGTGGCGGAGAGGGTGAAGGTGCTGCAAACTCAGTGGCTTCCCACAATATGCACTTGCTGCCTTAGGGTCTGGAGGGGCGGTCAATATGTGGGCGGGCTGGTTCCTGCTGGAGGCTCCAGGCTTCCCCAACTGCTGGAGGCACCCGCAACCCCTGGCTCGGGGCCCCTCCTCCACTGTCCAGGCACATCACGCCCCCAGCCTCTGCCTCCATCACCACACCGTCCATCTGACTCAGACCCTCCACTTACCTCTTACAAGGGCCTTGCAGATCCACGGGGCTCCCTTGCATCATCCAGGCTCATCTCCTTACCTCCAGATCCTTAACTTAATCCCATCTGCAAAGTCTCTTCGCCATGTGAGGTCACATACCCGCAGGTCCCAAGGACGAGGACAAGGATGTCCTGGGCTATTACTCAGCCGTCCACACTGTGTGTGCAAAACTACATTCTGGCAACTTCAGGCTAGCAGCCCGGGGCTTCCTTGAGACTGGTCTCCTCTGGAGATGGGGGGAGGGGCAGATTGGGAAAGGTGCTGGGGAGACGCAGGGGTAGGAGGGAGACACCAGAGTTGCACTGTCCAATAACCCTTTCTCTAAAGGTGGAATGTTCTAGAACTGTGCTGTCCTATAGCACTTTCTGGGATGATGGAATATTTCAGAATTGCATTGTCCTATATGGCAGCTCTTGGATACACGTGGCCATTGAGCACTTTAAATGTGTTCAGTGCAACTGAGGGACTGAATTTTAATTGTGTGTAATTTTAATTACTTGAATTCTAATGCCACACATGACCGGCCAGTGGCCACCATGTTGGACAGCACAGCTCTTGAACTCAACCTGGGCAGGTGTATCATCAGCGAGCCCAGGTTTCTGAGGCCCTGTGGACAGGACGTGAGGCTGCCTGGGATTTCCATGCCAGTACCTCTGGGAGTAAGTAGAGCAGGGCAGGAGGGGGGAAGTGCCATGGGGCAGACAGCCCGCCCCCATGTTGAGGGCATCAAAAACTCACTGCTGGTAGGTGACTGGTGCCACCAAGGGAAGACAGCTCTGGGTGCTGATAGGGATACAGGTAACTCATTTGCAATAAAATAACTTAAAATAAATGTGAGTTTTTTTGGTTTTTTTTTTTTGTTTGTTTGTTTGTTTTACTTTAAAAGGGCTGAGTTTGGTGGTGACACTGGGTGAGAAAGGATTGGCTTAAAGTTGTCAAAATGGAAATGTTTCTGTACCACGTCTAAGCTGCTGTCCCTGGTCACTTAATTCACAATGAACAGCAGGTCCCGCCACTGCCAGCAACTGGCACAGTGTAGGTGGCATTCCCGTCCGGCCCCTGGGCTGCTTTCACACCTGCTCAGCGATCCTCACCCACACCGTGTGTCAGACCACGTGGGGCCCAGCCCTCACCCCAAAGCCTCCATTCTCTTGGTTTGAGGAATGGTGTTTTGGAAAGCTCCCCTGGAGCCTGCGTGGCCGGGGACGAGACCCTTTTAATCCCATTAGCCTTCTTAACACGTTCCATGGGAGTTCTGTGAAATGACCCCCCAGGTTTTAATGGGGAAATTGAGGCTCCTTGGAGAGATTGTGGCTCTTGCCCAGTCAGAGGCCAAGGCGGGAGAAAGAGCCGTGCTCCGACGGGAGGTCCCGGGCAGTGTTGTTCTCTTGCATCCTCTGATGTGTGCAGGTCAGCAGGAGAGGGCAGTCTCCCATCAGAAAAAGAAAGTCCTGAACTGTACTGTTCCGTGAAAGATCCCATCCATGCTCTCGTGCCCTACAGGCGCATTCTGATGGGCACTTGCCTTCAAACCGGCCCCGGCTCAGACCTCCCACAGTTTCTGAGAATTACACTTATAGATAATGAAGGCATGTCGGTAATTGGAGATGGGGTCTCTGCACCAGAACCTGGAGTGGGGGCGGGGGGTCCCTCTGCACTGGGGCAGAGACAGGTCCAGGTGTGCAGAGCGGCCTTGCAAGAGGAAGATAGAGCCCCGGCGCCCGGGCTCGGTTCCACGTCACACGGTAACATTGTGTCCCAACCAGAATTCCAAGAACAGGTAGGAGAACTTTCATCCTCATTTTTCATGTTGATGTAAATCTGTCCTTTGAGTGAGCGGACATGTCTTGGTCTCCTGGTAGGTGTTCTCTTTTGTCAGTTATTTTTAAAAGCCGGCGGGAACCCTGGGACACCACGACTCTCCTGGGAACCACGCCGCGTCTGGATGCACTGCACTGAGACCACAAACAGCCTGAGAGGAAAGACGTGGATCTCAGCCCTCAAAGCAATGGTACAAAAAACAAACACAGACGCTCCCACTCCCTGTCCTGAGCGGCCGCCAGACACGGAGGTCAAGGTCCACGGGTTTGCAGGACGGGCTCTCAGTGTGGCGCAATTGTGGCTGAGGACCGTATTGTGGAAACTCTGGCCCAGACTTGAAAGCTCAAAGACTCCTCCCTGTGCTTTTATGTTATTTTCTCATTTTTTAGAATACAAATGTGTAAGAAGTACCGGTTCCTGGCATGCTGCCGTCCCTCCCTCCCCTCCCCTTCCTGACCCCAGAACCAGAGAGGCTGGGCTCCTGGTGGGCCACAGGCCAGGCTGAACCCCCTCCCTGCTGCTTCCCCCACTGCTCCCCAGGACGAGGCCCACTGCGGATCCTCTGCGCAGGCCCCTGCCCCCTCCCCCGCCACTCTGCACCAGCCAGGAGTCTGGGGCTCCTCTCATCCTGCGTTTCTGGCCTGGATACTCTGCTCTCCCACCCCCTAACCTCTGCTCCTGCTTCTCCTCCCCGAAGACACACCCAGAACACAGACGCACACCTGGCCCTCAGCCTGCACCTGGGGTTCCTCATCCTGCGTGCCTGTCCTCCTGCCAAAAGGCGCCTACTGACTCCCTCTCAGTAAACGACACCTCTGACACCTCCACCCCACAGCATTCAGACCGGCCTTGAGGAGGCCCCAGAGCTCCAGCTGTGGATCCTTGCTCCAGATCCTCTTCCCATCCCCCATGCTCGGTGCTGCTGCACCTGGACTGCCTCACTCCAGGCCAGAATTGCACCACTTGCCTCTTGATGCCACTCCTTCCTTCTAGGTCTCCCTGCTACCCCTGAGTGTGGGGTCCTCTCTGCTTGGACTGCTGTCCAACGACCGTTTGCATGGGTCCTCCTCTTCTTGCTCAGCCTCTGCTCTGACTGCGGGCCTCTCTGCAGTCCTCCACCCCTGTGTTCGGATGGGGCGCTCAGATGAAGTGTGCTCATGTGTGTCAGCTAGTCCACAGCTGGCTTCCCTGAGAGGGTGGTATCTTCACCTACCTGTTGACTTGCAGTGCAGAATAAACACTCTTCATGGAGGCTAAATGAGGAGCTCCAACCCATAAAACTCAGGTGCTGCCTGCTATCTCCATGGAAGCCACACATGCTCTTGCCTCAGTGCCTTGGGTCATGTTGTTCCCTCTTCTGGGAATACCCTTCCCCTCCCGGTTCTGCTCATAAACTTCTATCAAGCAAGGCTCAGCCCCAGTGCCTCTTCTGCAGTGACTCTTTCCTTGGCACCTCCCAAGAGAACTGTCTCCTCTGTGCCTACAGCATGTCCTATTGATGTGGGAGAAAGTGGGGGTGGGACATGGAGCAGCATGGAGAAGACATGAAGCAGCATGGAGAAGACATGAAGCAGCATGGAGAAGCATGGAATACCATAGGGCAACATGAAGCAGCATGGAGAAGACATGGAGCAGCATGGAGCAGCATCAAGCAGTTGGAGAAGACATGGAGCAGCATGGAATACATGAAAGAGCATCGAGAAAACATGGAACAGCATGGAACATATGGAACAGAATGGAGAAGACTAAGGGCAGCATGGAGAAGACATGGTGCAGCATGGAGCAGCATGGGGCAGTATGGAGAAGACATGTAGCACAATGGAGAAGACATGGAGC